TAAACTTTATTTTACTTACAGATTAACCTAATTTGTCAGACAATAAATAGGTGAATGTAGAATCCACGGAAATAGGATGATCCCCGGAAATAGGTATGCCTATCTTAATAGTTAAGAGATGGATTAGAATTGCTTTAGCTTGATTTTACATAAATTAGCCAATCACATAAATGTTATAACCTGTGATTTTCCATCAAAATGCAAGTTTCTTCTATGCTCGCTTTTGCTATATTGATATATATAAAGTGAATCAGCCAATCAGAAAGCTTTAAATAGACCGGTTTGTAGTCTTTGGTCCGATCTGTAGTTCAAAGGCTAGACCGGTTTTTTTGAACCGAGACTGGACCGAACCAGACCATAACATCCCTAATTAACGATAAAAATTTGGATAATCACCTATATAATATTTGTATTATGGCAACTGTTATTAATGATTAGGTTAAGATACCTGTAATAGTGGTTGCACCAGCATGACTGGCAAGTTATGGGGCATCTGTGCAATGTTGGAGTTATCAAAAGAATGCAAACTGACAAATCGGGCAGTACAAACATTAGATAAGTCTTTGTGGCTGTATAAATTTATTGAAATTGGATAACAAGAAGTCTATTTAGAAAGACCCAAGTAGAGAGATAGCTGGATCTTCAACAGCCCTATTGTAAAGGCTAGCCTGATAAAACAGATACTCAGGTCTAGTACCTGGTCCTAGTAGTTGGATAGGCAAGAACCTCCAGGTTGGGAGTCTTAGAGGTACCACCAATCAGGCCACCAGAACGAATCAAAGAAAAAGAATATTGGGCTAACCTGATATACCAATGGACTGGTCATAGTTCTATACAAGCTATTTGGATTAGGAGTTTGGTAAAAGAATAGAAGAAAAGGCAAGAGTATACTAAAGTACTAAGGTTATGCTGTGAATTAGATGCTGGGATCTAAGTGAACTCTACAAAAGCATAGTGGTTTAATGGTTAGTCCTAATCACAAGTGTTGATTCTGCTATAACAATTCTTAGGTTAGTTATAAAAATAAATACAGAAGGCTTTGGGGGTTTACTTCGAGGATAAATTAGTTCTAAGGTTAAGGATGATGATCTGGTACATCTGTGATGACCAGTGATATTAACACAGATTATAGGTTCAGAGAGTTTAAAGTGAAACATCCAAGCAGGAGTATTAGGTATGGCAATTGGTAGAGAATCTTTGGGTGGACTTCTTAAATAGGTAATATAGAAAAGTTATATATGTAGCCAATTGTACGCTCTCCTGTAGTGGTTCATTAAACCACAATACCGATAAGTGATTAATAAAAGTCAAAAGACCAAAGAGGTCACCTTAATATTAAAAAAAAAAATAATAATAATAACTAAAAAAATAAATCATAAAAAAAATGTACAACTAATCATATGTATAACTTTAATTATTGTCTAATTTAAATAGTTTACTTAAAAGTTATATACTAAAATATATTATAAGTATTAAAGATATGTAATACTAGAAACTGGATAAACTTTACAAGAACATAACTTTATAAATGTTTTATAAAATAAGAAGATTAATTAATAAAAGAATTTTTAAAATCTTATAGTCAGATAATATATTTAATAGATATATAGAAAAAAAAACTAAATAATAAGTTAAATAACACTTAGATATACAGAAATCATAGAATTATTCAACTGGTGTAATATAAAAATCAAAATATTTAAATAAGTAATCTCCTAACAGATTACAGATATAACAGCTAGTATAAAACCTATAAACAGACTACTTAAATAGGTAATCAAAAATTATATGTATAGCTAATTGCACACTTATCTTGTACAAGTTATATATGTATATATATAATTAAAATCACAATAAAAACAATAACCATCTATAAACATTAATCTTAGCAAAAGCAAACAAAAAAAATCAAAAGTAAACTGTTGTATTACATAACTGCTATACAGTAACCAACAAAAATAATGCCTGATTTGCAGATCATTACATGTGAGCAAATAAAAGAACTGTGTATATCTCATTCTAATAAATTTTGGAACAAATTTTTTTTATTTTTTACTTCTTTGACATTAAAGAAACCAAATATATGCAAAAGATTTTTTTTTTAATAAAAATGCTACATTAACAAATGACAGAAAAAGAGAAAGAAATGATCTATACTCATATCAGTACAATGAGTGTTGAACAAGTTGTTCACAAGATTAAGCATAACCCAACAACAATCTGAAGATTTTTATAAAAATACAGGAGAACCAAAAAAATTAAGAATTTATATTAGTCTAGACATCTTCTCATCTTAAAGAAGCAAAAAAAAACTATTATAATAAAAAAAACATTAAAGAAAAGATATATGTTACTGCTTAAAATTGTAAAGGATTTAAACCTTTAATGCAATGTACAGACTGTAGCTAGAATCTTATACAATATTGAACTTCATTCCCATATCATTGATTTAAAACCTTTTTTATCTAGTAACAATAAAAAAGGATGTATGGAATAATGTAATTAGAATAAAAATAAAGATATTTACTATTGAAGACATTATTTTTTTAGATAAAATGAATATAGAAATAAGTAAACAATCTCACCAAGTTTGTGTATAATATTACGCAAATAAGAGATACAAACATGAGTGTTTGCAACCAAATTTTAGAAGTGAAAAGGTCTCAGTAATGGTTTGATCATGTTTTATTGATAATATCAAAGATCCTATGATATTTTTGATGATTACAAAGGTCCCAAGCAAAAAATTAATAAAATCATTTATACCAAGATGTTAAATGACCATCTTATACTATTTTTAGTTACAATCCATTTGTTAAACATCTCCCATCTGATTTTTCAGCATGACAATGCTCTAATTCATAAGGTGTCAAATTGACTAAATTCAAAAAACATTGATTATATGAATTAGCTCTCACGATCCCCTGACCTTAACCTCATAGAAAATATTTGAAAGATCGTGAAGGACAATATCTAGAACCGTGATAACTTCCCAAGGAATAAATCTGACCTTAAAACGGCCTTACAGGAAGCATGGTCAAATTTGGATACGTCGGTGCTTGTGTCGTTGCAGACTCAATGACACGAAGAATCGACGCTATCACAAGTGTAGGAGGTCACTCAGTGAAATATTAAATAAATATAAAAAAAAAAATTTGATATATTTGTGGCCAAAATTAAATAAATAAAAATTTTATTTTTTGATCAAAAATCGGGCGTTACTTTTGTTGGCTACTGTACATTTAGTATCATATTAACAGACCACCTATCAAGAACTGCTAACAAGTAATCAAACCACAAAATTTTAATATCTGTCATTATATATTAAAATTGGAAAACACATTTTTAGATCTCTGCCAGTCTACTAACCAACCCCCTTTGTCAAAAAAAACCCCTTCTTTTTTTAATCTATCAAGTTTACAACCAATTTTATCTTCCATTATATCATCATTACCATTACGTTTTTTAACATTGTTTTGATGCTGACGTTTAAACCATACACCATCAAAACCGCCAATAAAAAAATCAGAGGCGATAACACGGTGGCAAGGTATAGGTGAAGGTGCAAATGGATTAACTCGTAGAGCACCACCCACTGCACGAGGGGATGATTTAAGTGCAGTCGCCAGTAATTTATAGGTTGATACGAACCCTATTTTAAGATTATTTAGAACAAAATTTACGCGATAAATCGAATATAAATATTATACAACAGGGTGAAACCTGCGTTGTAAATTAATAAAACCGCTACATAGATCAAATGAGGTGAAATCCGATTTTGCACATAGTTAAACGCGGATTTCACCCTAGCGTGATCTATGTAGCGGGTTTTACTAATTTGTAGCGCAGGTTTCACCCTCTCCTAATCTTATTACCTTCAGGAATCTATATAAACAATAATAAGTATAATTATAAAATTTCATAAGATCAAACTGTAAACGCCGAAAACTTTAAACAAACCTGTGCACATAAATCATAAACTTTATACTGAAATTCCGTTATGATTCTACCAGTTTTGGGGTTTATGAACTTTAAACGGTCAGTTTTGGTATTTGGATAAGTTACAGGAGAAATATTTGTTAAAGAAATAACTTCTAAAGGAAGATCATTATTAGTCGACCGTAGAAGTGAAGTTGATTTACTTTCCTCGTCCGTAGAAAGCATGTGGATGTGTGAAATATGTGGAACACACGTGGATATTGACTTATTTATACTTTGGTTTTTACACGTGTTACTCTTAATACACTAACGCTAAGTTCTATTTACGTATATTTAATGTTAATTTAAAAAAGAAAATGGTTGACCTTACACCCGACTTTCGCAAATTAGTTAATGAAATTTCAACAACCCCAAGTACTGATAATGGCATAAAAAAACGCATCGATGTTCTTCCGCCAGTCAAAAAGAATGTACGGGAAGTGCAAGATGAATTCTTGAAGGAAGCTTATCGAATAGTGAGTATATATTAACTCGAGCAATTTTAATTCTTAATTCCGGGTAAAAAGCAAAATTTCTTTTTTTCGACTCTTATCAACTTAGGCCTCCCATATAAACAACCTTAAAATCTTTCTTCTCTCGGTTAGAAAAGCTTACTTGAACGTATCAAGACAGAATCCTTTAAATCTTAAATATAGCACTAGTCCCGCTTTTTTACTTAAAGACAATTTGGATCAAGGATTATTACCAAGAATTGATCCTTCCATAACGACTTTAACAGATAAACAACGTGATGAAATCGATTTGCACGCAAAAACAATAATTCAACAATGCCTTAACAGAATAAAAGAATTGGAAGGTGCCGAACAAGGTAAGTATCATAAAACCACCCTGTAGTTTTAGGTAATCTTCTTGTTTAATGATTTATATTTATATTATTCTTTTAGTTCGTCAAAGTTCAATTGCAAATAATACATGGACAAATATTTTATTAACCGTGTTTTTCTCCGATGAACGTGATGTTTTGGCCGCAATACGAAGCAGTATCACATGGTTTTTAAATAAGAGGTTAACCGAAGTTTCGAAAATTCAAAAAGATCAACAAGAAACCAGGATAATGAAGGAAATTGAGAAACGCGAAAGGTACGGACTATTGATTAATTTGAGAGCTTTTATGCTTCATTAATATGCTTAACTTTTTTGTATCTCACAAAATAGCACGTTATATAAACCAATAGAATCAAAATCTCCTTCACGGCCATCATCAGTAATTCAAACCATGATAAATGAAGAATCAGAAACACCTACGAAATCTGATAATGAAATGAGCAGTAATATGGAAGGTGATGATGATATTGAACAGCACTTATCTGCAGAACAAAAAATGGTACTAGAAAGGGAAAATGAATCAATGATGAAGGAATTAGCTACTACATTAGAGCAAGTCAAGTATGTAATATTTAAATTTTATTATTTTGAAAAAATGACTAGAAATTAATATATTTTTATTGAAATAGTCAAGCAGAAAAGGCATTATTGGAAATCTCGACCTTACAATCCGTCCTATCTAATCATTTGGCTGTACAAACTCAACAAACGGATCGTCTATATGCTGAGGCTATTGCTATCACTGACAGAGTTCAAGAAGGAAATTTAATGTTAACAAAAGCTAGACAAAGGGCTTCTGATACAAGAAAATGGATTCTTGTATTTTTAATATTGGCAAGCTTTGTTCTATTATTTTTAGATTGGTACGATTAATGTATATCTTTTTTATGAATCATATTTGAAAAAAAAGACATTTGGAATTTTTGTAAATGGATGTAATTTTTTAGATTTTAATTTAGTCGAATATTTTATGACTTATGTTTATTGCAAAATGGAAATTGACAACTCATGCCAATTGAGTGTTTCAAAAAAAAAAAAACATATAGACATGCACATATACCATGCTTGTCATTGTTATTGATAAATAAAAATAATACTACATATAATTATTATACGAGTTTTATTATTCGTCCGCAGTTTCAGTCTCATCTTTTTTTTCTTCAGCAGCATCTGAAGCATTCTTATCATCCTTCTTCTTTTTGTTTTTCTTCTTTGGTTTTGGTCTCAAGCTCGTAGCCAACAGAGATAAAATCTCTTCATCTTCCACTTTTTTATCACTTTGCACAATCTCTGGATCGTAAAATGTGTTTGTAATTTTAATTGATCCATTTTTGGTTAAAAGAACTGTATTAAAGAACTGTGCCACAAAATCTCCTATGAAAAAAGTATTATAGAATTAAATTCATATATAAATTATATATGAATTATATATACGATGTAAATGAATATTACATACCTTCTTTTCCTTGATACACATCATATGGTGTCACTAATGCGTGACTTGCACATTCGGCTATACCCAATCTAGCCTTTTTTTCATCCTCCAATGCTCTCAGGGGGAAAGGAAAAGTGCCAAATTTTTGACTAATCTCATTAAATATGAGACGTGATGTTTTGATCTTTAAAGAATATGTATTTCCAGTCTTTTTATAAACAGTGGTACGGATAGAAGAAGGCTTAGGCTGTAATAAAATGTATAGATATTATGAGAAGAATAATAATGTATTAAAAAATTTGAGGAATAAGTTTTCTTACTTTTCCTTCTCCAGTTGAGATCAAGATATCAATACCATATACTTCATTCTCACCGAATTGTACGGTTTCAAAGTCGCGTTTTTGAGCTTCATTCGGATTGAGAATAATTTGTTTTTTACCCTCAATATCATTTCTTTCCTGCTGATATGATAACATTCCTATGAATAAAATAAATAAATAAATAAATGAATAAATAAAAAAACGCGTTCACTTAATAATTACAGTTTAAATTATTACCTTCAACAGAATTTGTGTCGAAAGATTTAGCAATCTTTTGTATCGTTTCGGTTACTTTGTTATTGGATAAACCAGGTTTTACTAACCTCAAGGCAGCCTCCGATGCCAGATGAGCAGCGGTTATGACATCGGCTAATCTACCCTTGACAGGTTTGTCTTTAGATGCACCAACAACAATAGTAGTAGCCACGATTGAAGCATAACCATCAATTTGAGCACCTAATTGAATTTTTACTAAATCACCATTTTTCAATACTTCAGATCCTTCAGGGTCAGATGATAACGGAGAAAAATGACAGATGATATGATTGACAGAAACGCAAGTTGGAAAAGCAATGCCTAAAATATAAATTTATATAATAATTATCCAAAATATTCATTCGATTGACAATAATGTATTAAATATTACCTTTAGAGATATTCTTAGCTTTCGCAAAAAGATTTTTCACACCATCCTCTATTGATTTATCACCTAATGCACAAAGATCCAATATTCTTGCTCCATCTACAGCGGATTCAATAACCAACTTAAGCACGCCTATTGAATAATAAAAAAGATCAAAGTTCACGTATCAAACAATACTGTACGAAAAAAGTAATAAAATGCAAGCGTCCCCCGGACTTTAAATATTTTGAAGAGATCTCATTAAATTATTCAATGGCAAAGGTTTTAATTGTTATTTGACTCTTTAAATAACATTTTTTTAAGTAAAAAAAAAAATTTTCAAGGCACAACATATGGCCAACAGTTACGTGTTTTATAAACTAAGTTTTGTTAACTTTGAACTTATACTGCAGAGTTTGATAACGACAAAGAACATACGATTCGAAATTTCTGCCGCCATTTGATATTTTTGGACGACATCGGGATTTTGTACAGTTTGGATTCCTTCGTTTTGCTCGGCCATTTTTTTTGGTTGCAATTAACTCAATTTGTAAAATTACCGCAGTAAAAAAATAAGGATTTCACATTTTCGTTTATCTATATCAACCAATCATTTAGCATTGATATGTAGATTTAAGTCTGTACAACGAAATCAGTTGTCTTCTTCTAAATGACTAAGCAGGTTAAAGTTTTGGGCAATTTTGGTAATTGATTGAAAATATACTAAACATTTGGATTTGACGATATACTGCCATTACAGTAAAATGAAAAATGTAGAATGCTTGGGTGAATAATAAAATTTAATAACATAGGCAACGCGAAAGAAGTTTCAGAATGTTACAATATTAGAGTTCTTTTTTTTTAATTGATGTAAATATAAATTATTTTCTTCAAGATAATGTTCTAAATTTGACTGTACTCATGAGTCATCTTTAGTCTTTCAAGCGCAAGATAAACACCAGTGCTTTTTCATAACACGTCATGAACGACGAAATTAAGAACATTACGTAGTAACGGTAATTATACAGATTTGGAAACTTGATCTTAGTCCGGTGAATATACTCCGAATTTTGTGAAAATAAGATATTTTCCATAGATTTTTCTGTGGTACAAACACATGAAATAAGCGCGTGAGTGAAAACCGATTGAATGTTTACTATGATTGGTTTGCAGGTTTCTCTCTCACGCACTTAAATCATTTACTATTTGAAATTTTGGCGTTTACATTTGTAAGAATCATAATGGCAGAAGAAAATATAATAGAAGAAAATATCATAATAGAAAATACCATAGTGGAAGAAAAATTTTTTTCAAAGTACATCTTACGAATCGTTTATTTGTTCATAATAATATTGTACCTGTATGTTGCTATCAGAGAATATCCGATATGGCGACGCATTCGGGGTGCCTTTTTTACTCGTTCAAAAAAAAAACATGGAAATGAGCCTCAACCCTTACAGATTGGTCATGTTGATCGAAATCTATTATTTTACATTCCCTTCCTTCCTTTCGCTATTGTGTATCTAGCACTTAAATTAATATTAGATGTGTTTAGACTGTTCGTATTTTATTCACTAGACTATACGGAAGCAATTTCAATAGCGTTAGGTAATTACATTCTTTTATGCGCAAAGAAAGTTCCTGAGATATGTGCTATGATTCCTTCAATTTGGAACTCTTATATAAAGAGATTAATTTTAAAAATAACATACGTCTCGTTCGATTGGATGTGCAAATACTGCTGGCCTGTAGCCAAACAACTGACCATTGCATGCTGGACCGTGAGCACTACAGTTTTTGTTGAAGGAAAAAAAATTATAGTATATTCATTTCATCGTTCGATAGAGCTATCCATAATAGGGTGGAATGATTTTGGTTATCCCTTGATAATATTTATGCAACGGGCTTTTGTCACCTTGATCATTGAGCCAGGAATATGGATCGCTTCAAAAATTGAATATCTTTCGAGAATTTCATGGTATTGTACTTGCTTCCTTATTAGAGACATTGCCGAAGATGTGAGAGATCTTCTTATTTTAGGGTGGTCGATTTCTATGACACTATGGAATCGCATACTTAACCCTGTAATTCATTTCATTTACCACTCTGCAATATTCATATATCATAAAGTACGTGAACATTATTCGACTATTGGACGATTCTTATATATTCGAGTTGTCCTACCTGGCGTTAATAATTTCTTTAACGTTGTTTATGGGATTGGTTCCAACAAAACATTCCGTCTTGTAGTTGAATATTTCATATTCATATCTCCTATTTTATATAATTCGTTGGTATCTTATTTTGCCCGACTTCGTGAAATGTCGAAGCTAACATTACCAATTTGTGTCAAACGTATTAAAAGATGTGGTCTAGAAATTATTCAAGATTTTTATATTACCTGTATGGATATTATTGCATATTCATCCTGGATGTATTATGCCATTATCTTACCCGTCATCAACATCATTCCTGTTGTTAAACATCTCTCAAACTCAATGTACAAACACGTTAAGGAATTTCTACTAAATATAATTGTTCCAGTATGGAAAGTTTTTAGACTATTATTACGGCCTGTTATCACAACCTTAAGTTTCTTTTACACAACTGTTATATTGGTGATCATCTTTGCATGGTTACGGTTTGCAAAGTGGTTAATTTCACTAGCGAAAACTATGTTGATCCACACATTACAATTCGCACAACAGTCTATATCCTTAGTGCTCAAGGCTTCTGAATCAGCGTATTATACAATGTTACCTTACTTCAACATTATCATTTCAACTGCAACAGAGCAAATTATTGTTCTTTATACTGTTATTAATAAGTTTATGATTGCATATCTACGATGGTTTACACCATTGATTTTAGAAGTCATATCAAATCAAATTTACGCATCAAGGGAATTTTTAATAGGGATATATATAAAATATGAACCTTTAATATTTGATTTGAGACAACGTGTGGTAGAAATAGTTGATTCGGCTGTTAATAACATTGGACAAGAGATGATGAATTGGGTCAAGAAAGAACAAGAATTAAGAGAAGCAATATAGAATTCCTTTGTATATAATATAAAAGACATTTTTTGAACATTCATATATTATAATCTATCATTTGTAACATTATCATATAAATATTTGTTGAAAGTGTATATTCCTTTTATATTCATCTGTGATTAAAATTCTTTTTTACATATCATATAAAATGATATAAAATTTTTAGTAACTATCATTTCGCTTTCTTTTTTTAAAAAAAACTATTGTAATATATACGTTTTGATTTAGTAGATTAGGCATGTCTAATATTGTTAGTCGAAGTACGCTATCAAGTCAAACATTTAGACAATTTTATGTCGAAATATATTTCGACATGGCATTACTTTTTGTCGAAATGTCAAAATCCTAAATGCCTAAATAGTTGACTAAATAAATATTAGATGATGAAATGTTTGTATATTACAGATTCAAGTTATAAGCATTTAGCATAGTGAAAAAAGCATTCATAAAAAAATCCTTAAGCAGATGCCTTTTAGAAAGTATATGTAATTAAACCTACTTGATAGGACCAGCAACCATTTTTGATCAAATATAGCGTGCAATCCACAATAAAAACAAGTTCGGATACTTGCTAATAAATAGGGTTATATATTTTTTTTAATTTAGACATTTCGGCGTAATGTAGAATATGGCAGACTAAATATAACAATTTTTTGCGATAAGAATTTGTAAATTATGCGTGCGATATATGGGACCCCTCATAGCAAAAGGAGAGGATGGGCCAAAAAAAATTTTTTTTAAAAAAATCCAATATCTTGAATTAGATTGATTAGAATAAAATTAGCATAAGAATAAAGTTTCTAATTTTTTGGCCCATCCCCTTTTGCTGTGGGGTCCCATATATAATTTATGCGATTTGCTGATGATTAAAAATAAAAAGTGCGATTTAATGTTTTTTGCTTAAGCAAAAAAAAATGTAATTTTATCTTGTAAAAAAAAAAACTTGCAACTTTTCAAATACTGTGCTTAACAGTTAACTAACAAAATTGATCTGCAATTTTAAAATACTGTGCTCAATTGTTTTATGATCTAATTTATAAAAAATTAATCCGTTTATAATTTATTTAATTTTCGAAAAAAATTGTGCTCAACTAAATATAAACTAATTTATTTATTGTTAAAAAACAAAGATAAATAAAATATTTATAGTTAGCAATATTACCTTAATTAATTTTTAAATTAAAGTATTCACTATTGTTCTTTCGAGTTATTAAAATACAATATATTTAACATTTTTAATAATCCTTTATTTAGATTTGCCTATTGTTTATTAAAATTTCATTATAATCAGAAAGGTTTCTTTCAACAGAACAAGAAAATATAAACAATCAATTATAATCTTTAACAATTACACTCAATTTAGATAATAAGTAAGTTGTTTTATTCTAAAATTCTTATAAGTTGTTGAATTTTTTTTTAACCTTAAGCTATACTTGCCGCCCAAATCCCAAACTATTATAGTTTTGGTTTGTCCGCGCCCAAATCCCAAACTCAAGCCCAAATTAATATCTCAAAAACTTTATTAATAATCTTTATTTAAACAAATAATTTATATTCTTATAGCTATATATAATATATTTACAAAATATCAAAATTATTTTGTTGATTTAATTTTTTATAAAAGCAATTTGTTTTTTTGAGGTTTGGGATTTGTCCGGGTTTTGCCAGCAAGCATACCTTAAGCAGTTACACTAGTACTTTATTAAGATTCTTGAAACTATATACATATACAATTACATAGAATTTTTCAATGTTTAAGTTTAGCATTACTCAGTCACCTCTATGGTACTTAAATACAACCTGTTATATTATTTCTATTAGAAATAGTTTGTTTGTTTAACTACTTAAAGTCATACCAGAAGGGTTCTTCTTTTTTAGTGATCAGTATATTAATTATCTTTCATGTTTCTTTCTTTATTAGATTCATTTTTTTTGTTTTTCTTCTTCTTTTGCTTGTTTATTTTTCTTTTTTCTTTTCTTTAATTTTTCTCTTATATAAGTATCTTTTTTTATTTTATTTATTATGTTAGTTTTTTTTTTATTCTAACATTTTTTTATATTGTATTCTTTATACTTAGTTATAAAAGATGTTTCAAACTGTTTGCATTATTATATTTATACATTTTTGTATTACCTACTTGTTTAATAATTGTTTAAGTTTTTCTCTTACTTTTAGCATAATAAGTCTTTTTATTAATATTTTTCTATTTTTAATTTCTTCTGTTTCTGTTTCTTTAAATATTGTGTTATTTAATACTTGTAATAGAATTTTATTTTTTCTTTCTTTTTGAGCCTATTTCATATAGTTGCTGTTATTATTTTTTGTATCTGCTTTCACAGATTTTTTTTTATTACAATTTGTTAAGTATATTTAAGTTTTGTATTATTTTGACATATCTAGTACTTTACTGTTATATATACTTCTAGTCTTCTTCTATTTAGTTTTTCAAATATTGACAAGCTGTTTATTATGCACTTTATTGCTATTATTCTTCTTGTATTAAGTTTTTTTAAAGTATAGTAAATTTCTCTTATTCTATTTATTTCTTTTTAAAAACTTGACTAATCATATAGTATATTTTCTGTTTTGAATTTTAGCATTTTGATTAGATTATTTTTTCTTTAATTGATTCTAATTCTGATATTTATTATTATTTTACAAAAAAGTCTTGTTAGTATATTAATTTTCTTATTTTTCTACTTTAAATGATCTTTTCTGCATATATTATATCTTTATACTTGCTTCTTTTTTTATAAAAAAATCTGCTCTATTATTCTATTTGTCTTTACTATAACTTTTAATTTTAATTATTTTTATTTTAATATTCTTATTCTTAATAAGACCTACAATATTCATTATTTACATTGTATATTTTTTTTAAAAAAATTTTTTATTTTCTATATCTTGAGTTGCTTTGTTAATATTTTTTAATGTTGCAGTACTATCTGTATATACTTTTATGTTTTTTTTTTTAGTACTATAAGAATTGCTATTTATATTATTGCCAATTCTGTTATTGTTGCTAATAGTTATCTCTTAAGTTTTAATGCAGTTTCTTCTTCTAATTAGTTTTTTTTATTTTTTATTTGTATTTAACAATACTTATTTTTTCTATATTATTATTATTATTTTTTTTTTTTAACCTTTAGCAGTTATGCTAGTACTTTATTAAGTTTCTTGAAACTAAATACATATAATTACATAGAATTTCCCAAAATTCAAGTCTAGCATCACTCGGCCACCCTATTGGTACCTAAGTGCAACCTGCCACACTATCTCAGTTAGAGATAGACTGCTCGTTTAACTACTTAAAGCCATACCAGAAAGGTTTTCCCCTTTCTGTAACAAGCATATCGATTGTTTTCAAAACTTTCTCCTTCATTCAGTTTGTTTTTTCTGCTTTCTTTTCCTTTTTTTCTTTCTTTGTTATCTTATTCTTCTTTTCTCTTTTCTCTAATCTTCTTTTAATTCGAGCACCTTTTTTCATCTTGTTTGTTATATTAACTTCCTTTTCTCATTCTTGTACTTTTCCACATCGAACTCTTCATACTTGATTGAAGAATGTATTCCAAACTGTTCTTGTAACTATATCTATGCATTTTTGTATTGCCTGGCTATTTAAAATTTGACTGATCTGCTTTTCAACTTTATTCGTTGTTAGCCCTTTTATTAAAGCTTTCTATTAGCAATTTCCTCTGCTTCTGTTTTCCCAAATAATGCCTCATATAGTACTAAAGGTGGGATTCTAATTTTTTCATTTTCTTTAAGGCTATTCCATGCTGCTGCTGTTGCTACCTTTTGGATTCTCTTCCACAAACTTTTTTGTTCACTGCAGCTTGCTAAATGTGCTTGAGTTTCCTTTTCACCTTCTTGACATACTTGGCAATCAGTCGTTTTATATATTTCTGGTCTTCTTCTATT